CTGGGGGCAGCCAGCCCGGGCGAGCTTCTTTCTGGGTTTCTGATTTTCCCATCTGTCTAAAAACTGCCCCCACCGGGCTTTCGCAATTTTAGTTCAGGGGGGTGGGTCAAATTTTCGTCACACGGGGGTTTGGTCTTGGTGCATATAAGGAAAGGTGGCCGCAGCACCGTCCAGTTGTCAAACGACTAGCAGGGAGCGTCAGGAGCACGCCCAGGCCTCCGCAGCAGACCCTCCTTCAGCCCCGACGCCAGACGCCCAGACGGCTCCGCCTCCGCCGTCCGCACCCTGCCCGCCGCCGCCGCCGCCGCGATGCTCGCCCGCGCCCTGCTGCTCTGCGCGGCCTTGGCGCTCAGCCAAGCAGGTGGGTCCTTGGCGCTGCGCCCGGTGGGCTTCTCGGTTCCGCGCAGCTGGGCACGGTTCCCGCTCTGACCTGCCGGGTCAGTCCCGGTGCCCCGACCGCGCTCCAAAGAGAGACGCTGCGTGATGCGGGAAAGAGCTCAGAACACTCGAGTCCAAAAGGACTGGGTGCATTTTCCAGTTTTGCCACCAGCTCTGATCGTCGTGAACCAGTTACTTACCTGGTCTGAGACTCACTCTCATCTGTTAAACGGGGATAGTGATACTAATTTGCAGGTTGTCATTGTGCTAAGTAAGGTCTGATCAATATGTGTGAATTGTGTGTGGTATCTACTGATACTGAATGTAAGAAATTAAAAAAAAAAAAAGCTCTCTAGTCAGGGCTTTCCTACCTCAGGAAAGCCTAGACTTTCCTAGATTATTTTTAATGTAAGCAAAATATTGTGAAGGTAAGCTATTTTTACCTTGAAAGTTTTCCTAATTTTTGATGAATGTACTAGATCCGTCCGTTTTAATTTTTAAAGTGCTACTTTTTTTTTGCGCTTCTTAAAAATACTACTTTGAACGTCCAAGAAGTTACTAAGAAAAAAGTTAATAATACTATTTACCAAGTCGAATATTCTTTTACCCTTGTTTAGACTAAGTGTTTCTACATTGTAACTATTCTGTGAGGCAGGTTAAAACAATTGTATTTCCATAACCACCTGTATATTTCTTTAATATATTATTGCGACGTTGACTTATAATTAGTAAAACAATTAAAAGTTTAAGTCAAGATTAAGACTTTGAGGAATGTTTTCTTTGTCCTTCCTTTCACTGTAGCAAATCCTTGCTGTTCCAACCCATGTCAAAACCGAGGTGTATGTATGACCGTGGGATTCGACCAGTATAAGTGTGATTGTACCCGGACAGGATTTTATGGTGAAAACTGTTCAACACGTAAGTTTGCTTTTGAGTTTGCTCATTTGGAATGGGGTTGCACTCAATTACCAGTTTATATACTTATAACGGGCCCCATTAATTTCTCTCTCCTTTTTTTTTTTCTGTAATGCAGCTGAATTTCTGACAAGAATAAAATTATTACTGAAGCCCACGCCAAACACAGTGCACTACATACTCACCCACTTCAAGGGAGTCTGGAACATCGTCAATAACATTCCCTTCCTCCGAAACACAATTATGAGATATGTGTTAACATGTAAGTACACATCGCTTTCTAAGATTTTTAGCTCCTTTAAAGAAAAATGTGCTTTATAATACTGTAGATGACTAGATCTCATCCAAAACCACATTTCCAAGCTTGTCAAAATGATTTTGAAGATACCTTTTTAGTCTGCCTGCTATCTTATGGGTCAAAAAATATTGACATTTTAAACCCCATCACTTTATACATTTCTGTGTCACAGTTAAAATTCTGCTGACAACGCCCCACACTTGTAACTTTCACTGTTCTGGCCAATTTGCAGAGGAAATGTGGTCCAGTTGTTTATGGAATGTCCATGGGCCACAGAATTGTTCTGAACATGTAGCACTGATTAAAGATTAATGGTTAATTTGGATTTGGATCAGCAAGAAAATATCTTGCTATTGTTCTAGAGTGTCATGCCCAGACAGACAACCCTGTTATAGATCTCTTGAGTAGTGAGTAGTTACGAGAAATCAAGATTGCCAGAGTTTGTATTTATTAAACATTCATTTAAAGTGGCAGTTGGACTTTAAAGTATAAATGTTTTAAAATAGAGTATCTTTGATAGTTGGAATTAAATTCAATCCTGAGTTAGTTACCACATTTTGCAATGAAATGATCATTGATTTGATTTGCCTGTAGGAATAAATAAGACAATTTTTTTCCTTGAAATTTCAGCCAGATCACATCTGATTGATAGTCCACCAACTTATAATGTACACTACGGCTACAAAAGCTGGGAAGCCTTCTCTAACCTCTCCTATTATACCAGAGCCCTTCCTCCTGTGGCCGATGACTGCCCAACTCCCCTGGGTGTGAAAGGTGAGTGAAAAGACCTCATTAGAGGTGCATTAAGTACAAGGGGGGCTGGATTGCGACCTAAAATAGTTGACCTTAAACTATCATTTATTTGTTAACAGAAGTATTTTTTTTCTTTATTATGGATATTTATGGGTGTTTTTTAAAGTGTAAATCTATGTAAAACACAAAAAGAAATAAGCATCTTCGTATATAATATTTTAATATTTTCAAATTCTTTGATGAAAATGAATTCTCACTGTTAAGACAGATAAAATTATTCATAAAGTTGTCAGGCACAGTGGCTCATGCCTCCAGTTTCAGTGCTTTGGGAGGCCAGGAGTTCAAGACCAGCCTGGAAAACATACTGAGACCTTGTTGCTACAAAAGATTTAAAAAAAAAAAAAACATTAACAGGGTGTGGTGCTACATTGTAGTCCCAGCTACTTGAAGGTTGAGGCAACGTGAGCTCAGGAGGTCCAGGCTACAATAAGCTCTACTCCAGTCTGAGATGATAACAAAGGGACAAACTGTCTCCAAAAAAATTAAAAAAAAAGAAGTTGTTCTCCCATATATTAGAAGCATGATTTATATTATGATCCTGCTCACAATTATATTTATCCTATAAGCAAAGAATTCCTGATAAATTGACAGTCATTATCTGTTTTCTTGAAAATACAGGGTGGGTTCTTATCTTAGCTTTCTCATTTTTTCAGGGAAGAAGGAGCTTCCTGATTCAAAAGAGGTTGTGGAAAAACTTCTTCTAAGAAGAAAGTTCATCCCCGATCCCCAGGGCACAAATTTGATGTTTGCGTTCTTTGCCCAGCATTTTACCCATCAATTTTTCAAGACAGATATTGCACGAGGACCAGCTTTCACCAAAGGGCTAGGCCATGGGGTAAGACAGAGTTAAATCAGAATTATAGCAAATCAGTAAAGGACACACACATATATAGCTATTACTGCTTGTAATTTGTCTCAGATTTTTAGTTTAAAATATTAGCACTGCAAGTAAAATACATTTGTACTCTGATTATGCTGCTTTCAATATTATAAGGTGAAATTCTTACAACATTATTATCTTTTGGAGTTCAATAACACAGCTTTAACATATACTGATAAAAATTTTTTATGCATAATGCATTTTAAAAATAATTTTTAAAGAATTACTATATGATATACACTCAATATGGTACACTAATTTTTAAAACACAAGGGACATATATAGATTTGTAGCTATGGATAAACAAATAGTGGATAAACAAATTTATTTAGTAGCGGTGCCTGTGGCTCAAAGGAGTAGGGGACCAGCCCCATATACCAGAGGCAGCAGGTTCAAACCTGATCCCAGCCAAAAACTACCAAAAAAACCAGAACAAATGTATTTAGTATTTTGTGGCTATGGCAAAAATATACGTATTTATTGGAAAATTTTAAAGAGTGCTAAGTCATCAAATTATTAAAAATAATTTATAGAATAGACACTTTATATAAGAACAACTTAAATAACAACAAATCATAATTTTTCATAATTTTCTAGGTGGACTTAAATCACGTTTATGGTGAAACTCTGGATAGACAGCATAAACTGCGCCTCTTCAAGGATGGAAAAATGAAGTATCAGGTATGTAGTCTCCTTTCCATATTAGCTCTTAGTTACGACTTCCCATTTAGGCCTAAATTGTAAAGTTCCTAATGATAACTATTTGTTTTTTCACTTTTAATTCATGTTTATTTGTTACTGTTATTTTTTAGATAATTGATGGAGAAGTGTATCCTCCCACAGTCAAAGATACTCAAGCAGAGATGATCTACCCCCCTCACGTCCCTGAACACCTGAAGTTTGCTGTGGGGCACGAGGTCTTCGGTCTGGTGCCCGGTCTGATGATGTACGCCACAATCTGGCTTCGGGAACATAACAGAGTGTGCGACGTGCTTAAGCAGGAGCATCCAGAATGGGATGACGAGAGGTTGTTCCAGACCACCAGGCTGATACTGATAGGTAAGCAAGAAGAGAACATTTAACTAGAACCCTCTTCCCCAGAGACATGTTTCGAAGAACTGGCAGACTATGGTAAAGGGGAAATCGCACATCCTATGTTAATTCTGTCTGTGAGCATGATTGGTAATATAACTATCTTTTGTTTGGATATGAACAAGGAAAACAAAGAGAAGTGAAGAAATAGCAAATAGCAAAATTGCATTTCAATGGCTTGAAGGTTTGTGATCAGAAAAAATTAATATTCATAATTTTTTGGTGCAAACAGGAGAGACGATTAAGATTGTGATTGAGGATTATGTACAGCACCTGAGTGGCTATCACTTCAAACTGAAGTTTGACCCAGAGCTGCTTTTCAACCAACAATTCCAGTACCAAAACCGTATCGCTGCTGAGTTTAACACACTCTATCACTGGCATCCCCTTCTGCCGGACACCGTTCAAATTGATGACAACCAATACAACTATCAACAGTTTATCTACAACAACTCTATATTACTGGAACATGGACTGACCCAGTTTGTTGAATCATTCACCAAACAAATTGCTGGAAGGGTAAGCATTATTACTGAAAAGTAATAGACTAGTCAGTAACTTTAAAATTTCTACCACAGAAATTAGTTTTCCTTGAACTTACTAAAAGAGATACTGGGTTGGCACCTGTGGCTCAAAGGAGTAGGGTGCCAGCTCCATAAGCTGGAGGTGGGGGGTTCAAACCCAGCCCCCCGTTAAAAACTGCACACACACACACAAAAGAGTAATTGTATGGCTAGTAAAACTTTTATTGAAATAAGAAGCCTAGCTTTATTGGGAAATGTCTAAACGTTTAGTCTGTCATTATCAAAGAGCAAATTGTTATCGATATCTTAAAAATAGGTATTTTCAAGAAGTACAATGTATAACTATAGAAATAAATATTTCAGACTCGAATACTAGTATAATTTTTATAATTTTACAAGGCAAATAAGTGTTCTTAAAATCTGATATTATCACTTTACCAACTGTGTTCTTCTCTTCAAAGATTGAGCTTTTGACTCCATACTTCAATCTAGTAATAAAAGACATTTCAAAAAAAACAAAAAAGGCAAATAAGTCCTAGGCTGGCATCCCATTGAATTATAAGCAGAGGTCCTGTTGAAATATATGTAGTAAGCATCTTTCCAGGAAATAAAAATAGACTTGGTTGGAAGCATCACTTGTACCTTATGTGTACCTAAGGAATGCTCTTACAGTAGAAATAATAGAGGTTTTTTTTACAACTAAATTTATTTTCCACAGGTTTCTGGTGGCAGGAATCTTCCATCTGCAGTACAAAAAGTAGCAAAGGCCTCAATTGACCACAGCAGACAGATGAGATACCAGTCTTTCAATGAGTACCGCAAGCGCTTTTCGCTGAAGCCCTATTCATCATTTGAAGAACTTACAGGTGAGAAGTAGTTTCCAAACTTCGTAAAAGAATCAGGGGTCCAATGGAAACAATAGAAAAACTGAAGAAAATTGAGCAAAGGGGTACAGCTACTTTTTTTATTTTCCAAAGTTTGACGTAGATTGTCTCTGTCTTCATCACTTTCCCAGGAGAGAAGGAAATGGCTGCAGAGCTGGAAGCCCTCTATGGTGACGTTGATGCTATGGAGTTTTATCCTGCCCTTCTGGTGGAAAAGCCTCGTCCGGATGCCATCTTTGGGGAGACCATGGTGGAAGTTGGAGCACCATTCTCCTTGAAAGGACTTATGGGTAATGCTATATGTTCTCCTGACTACTGGAAGCCGAGCACTTTTGGTGGAGAAGTAGGTTTTAAAATCATCAACACTGCCTCAATTCAGTCTCTCATCTGCAATAATGTGAAGGGCTGTCCCTTTACCTCATTCAACGTTCCAGACCCAGAGCTCACCAAAACAGTCACCATAAATGCAAGCGCCTCTCGCTCTGGACTAAACGATATCAATCCCACAGTACTGCTGAAAGAACGTTCAACTGAGCTGTAGAAGTCAAATGATCATATTTATTTATTTATGTGAACCATGTCTTTTAACTTAATTATTTAATATTTATATTAAACTCCTCATTTTACTTACCATCTTCTGTAACAGAAGTCAGTACTCCTGTTGCGGAGAAAGGGGTCATACTTGTGAAGGTTTTTGTGTCACTACTTCAAAGATTTTTTTTTTTTTTAAAGTTCAATGGGAACATTGTTTTCATTCCTCCTTGTAAACCAGGAGAAAATGAGTTTTGGCAACTTTTTACTTGAATTTTAATTTATATTGTGTTACAGTAAGAACAAAAGCAAAGATGTTTGAACGCTTAAAC